CCAATCGCCCAAATTGGATATAATAGTCCGTTTGGAATATAATATCCCAAATGGGCTACAAATTTACAGTTTAAAAATTAAAAAAATTTTATTTTGGCAATTAATATCATAAATCCGCATCAAAACACTTAAAAAGGAATAACTTTTGGTTGACAAGTTTTTCTGCAACGGTTGTAAGATTGATCCCCAAGAAGTTAAGGAACTTCCGAGGGATCAATCTCCTAAACAATGGACATACAGGAAAACTTGTCAACCAAAAGTTATTCATTTTTAAGTGTCCTGATGCGGATTTATGATATTTATAGCCAAAATTAAAAAAAAAATCAATATTTGCACTGTAAATTTATATTCCATTTGGGATATTATACCCCAAACGGACTAGTATATCCCATTTGGGCGATTGGTCCCAACCTGTTGAAATTCAACTTGTGGAGTATACCAATCAATGCTTTGTCCAAATTATATTCAATATTACATTTAAGGGTGCACGTGTCGTAAGTGTCGCACATTGCATCTGTTTTGTGGTACTTGGGATTTGCATGGCAAAATGGTGGGGATTATTCAAAACGGGTCAAGATGTCATGTCTCTGACACTGATATTGAAGAATGAAAGCTAGGAATTTAGCAAAAAGTTGTATTAAATATCAGTCTTTTAAAAATATTACTTACTTTTAATTTTTTTTAAAGTGAAGTTCATTAAATGTTAATATTTCATGTCAGCTCAAAATATTCCTTTCATTATAGTACGTATATACATATGAAGTGTAATATCAATTGTGAAAAAGATACGGAGATAACGAATACTATTTAATATCAAATTCCATAAAACAATACAAAATAGGAACAGAGCAAACACGGACCTCCGAAACATCAGAGGTTGGATCGGGTGCCATGGAGGAGTGAGCATCCCCTGCTGATTGTTCATACGTACATGTAGAACATGCTCTTGCGTATCGAATCAAATGAGATATATACACTCCGTATGCATGGTGATGAAGGTATATTGCTGCATAAGTAAGGGAATTTGACGATAGAAAAAGTAAGTCATCACGTTTATCAGTTAACTTGGTTGTTAGATTACCATTAACGAATTTTTCAAGTAAAATATCCAAGCATGAAACAGATATGTTAGACTCTGTGGTATATTTTATGACTGTAAATTCTTACAAAAATTATACCTTCTTGGTCACATGCATATAACATAAGTTGTAATATATAGCTAACACCCGTCGTTACGATTGTTACAGTGTGTCATAGAATTGATTGATTGTATGTTGTTTTACGTCCAATTATCATAAAACGATCAAGGGCTTCAAATTTTGACCTTTACTCGGCATTCAGAGCCATTGAGCAGTGAGGAATCCTTATCGTGCCAAAGCATGCGACCTCGGTTTTTAAGGTCTCTTTCGAAGTACCCGCAACTTTTACTTCCAGTGCGAAGCGCATGGCGAAGGAACAGTTACTACCCATTTTTCATTGACTTAGTTTAGTCGCGGACGAGCTTCGAACTCACGACCTCCCGATCACGGGGCAAGCGCTCTACGGACTGAGCTAAAGTGAACGGTGTGTGTCATAGGAAGACAAATCAACATACATGTATATGTATACAAGTATAACAAATGCATCAGAGGCGTAGTCACAAACTTAAAAGTGGGGGGGGGGGGGGGGGGGGGGCTCAAATCCAAGAAAGATGTAAAATGTGTAATATGAAGAAATTAAGATGCAAAACGTGTTATATCAAGCCCCTGTCTAATTTGAATGAGAAGACTTAAAATAATGCACTTAAAGTTGATTGACATTCATCAAAGGTATACCGAAATCAGAATCTCCAATACTGAAGCTATCTTGGCTAGGATACTAGTATATTCTATAGTACATATATGTTAACATAAAGAGTACTTTTTCAGGTGCAAAACAAATTTATTAAACTTATAAAATAAAATGTAGGTTCGAAAATGAAGAGTCCTTAGATAATTCAATGCTATATTCTTGGAAACCAAACTGAAAGAAAACAGTCTTAGTAAAGATATAGTTAATAGTTTCCAAAGTACAGTTTCCGACTTGGAATCTTCTGGATGAATGACTTTGCTACTTCGTTGAGGTTGACTTGGTCTGTTCTGTCTTTGTGAACAAAACAAGTCATACAGTGATTTAATCTAGCCTGGGTCATTGTGCTTCGGAGGTAGGTTTTAATCCTCCTTAAGGACGAAAAAGATCTTTCTGGTGTGGCAGTTGTGACTGGAATGGTAAGGTAAATTTGTACAAGCTTCGTAACTTCTGACAGAAGTTTCTTTGTGATAGGCTCCTTCATATGTTGACAAATTGTATCTATCAAGGTAACTTTTTTAATTTTATTTTCACTGTCAACTTTGAAAATATCGGGCAGCATTTTGAGCTGCTGCTCAAGCCTTTGGAAAGAAATATCTTCTTTGTAAAGCATGGTCAGCTCTTCCGACAAAGAAAAGAACTCTCCATTTGCTGCATTTAACAAAAGTGTTTCAATTTCTTTGACAATGGTCATGTTTTTTTGTTCGAATCTGTTTTTCAGAGTACCTACAGCGTGTTCTAATGCTTCATAGAACTGATGTCTAAAGTAATCCTTTGGGTTATCATATCTATGGGGATTTGATCCATCATCTAATCTTTTAGGAGCACGCCTATATCTTGGAAGTGATGGTTCGTCTGTCAGGTCTTTTGCCTCTGCACAAACTGCATCATAAAAGTCAGAAAAAACAGAGTCATTTCTCTGGCGCTCAAAGTAGGATACAGTGGCCTTTGAGGCTTTGATAGCATCCTGTGCTGAAGTATTTTTTCCCTGGATCGAAATAGATAGCTGCTCAGATGCAGCAAATATTAAGTGTGATAATTTCAATCCAAAATATGTTGAAAACTTTTCCATCATAGCCAGTTGTCCACCAGCTCGTCTGGAGTATTCATCATTAGTATTAGTATGTATGTCATCCAAAAAGTCTTGTAGAACTTTGTAGTTCTGAACTACAGATTCTATAGCATATGTTCTAACAGTCCATCGAGTTGGACAAATTGGTCTGAGGTTTGGTGAACTAAGATTTGTTTCCTGCAATTTCTTTTGCATGAAGAGATGTTTTCTCTTTGGAGATAAACAAATAAGTTTTTCAATTTCAGTGACCAAGTCCATTGAATAACGTATTGCGAAACATTTTTTTGTAACATCTTGAACACTAAGATTAATACAGTGAGCAAGACAGTGGACGCTAATGGCAGATGGATACTGGTTCTGGATTTGTTTTGCTACACCTGTTAAGTGTCCCGACATATTTGGCGCACCATCATATGCCTGACCCCGACATAATTCTAATGGCAAACCACTTCTCATAAGAACATCTTTCACTGCCAAAGCTATAAAGTCACTTGTTTGCGAATGAATTTCGAAAAGACCTAACATATCTTCATGAATATCGAAGTTGTCATCAACCCATCTGACACATACAACTAACTGTTCTTTGTATGCAACATCCATAGTCTCGTCTGCCATAATAGAAAACCATTTTGCCTGTTTTACGTCATCAAGCAATGATCTCAAAATTTCCAGTCCAATCAGAGAAATTTGTTCATTAACAATTTCTGGAGAAATATATTTTCCTTGTTCAATCCATGACAAGATAGTTGGGTTATCTTCAGCTCGCAATTTAAGTAGCTGAATAAGGTGACCTTCAGATTCGCTGTGTCCTCTGACTGCAAGGCCCTGTCGTAATAAAAATTTCAAGGAAGACAACTGACATGAGAGTGCTAATCGTCTTTTCTTCTGGTCTTCCTTTTCCTTTTTCTCTACCTGCTCACTTACAGCCATGGCACCACTTTGCAATCTCCTAATATTTGATTCAGCTTCTTTATGAGCTGATGACATTTCATGTTCCCTGAAACGATTCACGGCTTTTTTCCAGTTTGAAAAGCCATTTTTAGAAAAGGCCAATTCCGCATTTTTACTCAGCATCAAAACATTTTTTTTAACAGCTTCTCTGCAGAAAAAGCAGAAAACATTCTTTCTGCTTGTGCAAAGTGTAAGCCAAGGAAAATCATCAAACCAGTTTCCTTGAACAGCTCTTGTTATGGTTTTATTCTTTCTTTTCATTGTGACTTTTGTTTGCTGTAGTATGTCTTTATCACGTGGTTGAAATGGAGTGGGTAAAGTACAGCATATGTCTGCGCAGTCTTCTGTGAGTACTGTTTTTTTAGAGCAACTTGCATCAGTCAATGAATCGATTAACTCTGTATTTTCTGTGTCAACTAAATTCTGTTTTTCTTCTTGTACTATTTCCCCTTCCATACTTTTTTGGGCACTTTCCTTGTTGCTGTCCTCTATGGCAGAATCCTGATCTTCTTTGACTTGACATTTCTTTTCTTCATTCAGCGTGCTTGTTTTGTCACTCTGATCAGATTTAATGTCCATTTTTTCTGTCTCATTGTGTATGATTGATTTTTCTTTACATGCTGTAAATTTTGAAAGTTTCGTCACTTCGGTTTGTTTCTCGAGTGTTTTATTCTTCTTCTGAAAGAAAGAACTTATGGATTTCTGTTGCTTAACCTTTCCTTTTGATTTCTTTGGACTTTCTGACAGTTTTCTTTTTTGATGTACCGATGTGTGTTTCTTTACGAGAGGTACAAAATGATTTGGTTCAAACAAAGCACCATCACGTGTATCAAAATTTCCATCTCTAGTCCACATGATATACATATTCTCAATGTGCCCTACATCTACTTCATTTGAACGTAATGGGTTAAATACATTGTTGAAAAGTGGCCTGATTCCCATATTAACCTCAGGATAAACAGAGTATACAGGGCGTTGGAGAACTGTGGCCAATGCCATGATATGTATTAAACCAGACCATGCCTTATCTTTACATGTAGAAAGTGCAACATTTCTCACATTGGTTTCATTTTCACTGCTAATCTCAGCTGTAGGATAAATCATTGCTCTTGCATCACTTAAATTCCTGGACATAAATTCTGGGTTCTTGATGACAGTTTCTAAAGCAGGGTGGTCTGTGTACAATTGTCCATTGCTGAAGAGTTCACAAGCAGTTAAAATACGTAGACTTGTGGACAAGTGCTCATCTCCACAGAGTACAAGTGACGCACTATTATATAAGCAATTTCCATTTCCCGTGCATTTCAGGGCTTGTTGGCCACCTTCATCTACATTTATTTCCGATGGAATTAACACTGATGCTAATTTATCTGATTAGAGTCTTTCATAATCAGATTGACACGATTCATCCTGGACTCTACGCAAATGTTTCAAACGTATGCTTACCACAGAATCCTCATCGTTTTTCTTCATTGCTGACAATAAATTGTCAAGATCATTCATTGTTCTAAAATAAAATTCCAGGTGTTCAAATAGATTTAGCTTTCGTTGATTTTTGTTTCAGTTACAGTAACGTTAACATTTCACTTTGTTAACTCTAGAATAGCATGAATAAATTGTCTTATACAACAGTTTTATCTCTGACTGTATTAATTCTGTATCAATTTAATCATTTTGCTAATAACACAAAACAAAATAATCATAAAAACTTACTGCATGATTGTAAGAGATGATCAGACTCCAAGCACACATGTGTAATGACTAATGAATCGGCAAATAAAACAAAACAAAAAAATCCAGAGGTTGACAAATCTTACTGCATGGCCTACGCGTTAAACAAGAAATGAGATACAGCAAATAAATAATGACTTTTAGATGTCAGTACAAGGGTCAGCTTGTGCTTCTCATTTAATTTTGTTAGATAACAGATGCTGAGTGAAACAGAAACGTCAAATTTATTACCCTTTTTGACTGTTCGCTTTATTCAATTCAATTCTTTGACCCGCACGGACCTATCCCAAACATTCGTATACAAGAGGTCTTAAAAGATTTACTTACTTTATTTGTATTACATTACTATTACTTCAAGAGAAACGCTTACTCAGACGTTGCTGAAAATAAAATAAATTTGATAAAATGAGGTTTAAAATATAATTTCATAATTTCAACATAGCTGTGATTTTGTTCTTCAATAAGTGGGGGGGCACAGACATACTCTTGCCCCCCCCCCCACTTCTGAAAGTGGGGGGGCTAGTGCCCCCGCTGCCCCCCCTGTGACTACGCCTATGAAATGCATGCTAAGAGTGTGTTTATGGTTGGACATCATTGTTACTATAACTTGTACTAAAAATGCATTCTTGATAAATTGTATTTGTGATAAAAAAAATTCTTTACAGTTTCCGGATTTAATTTTTTTTTTTATGGAATAAATACTTGTTACTTGTAGAACATTTGAGATTGAAATAGCCATGTGAATTAATGCTAATTTAGTTGATGTAAGTAGAGGAGTTCAGCTTGGATTATTTTTATATAATTTGATGAATTATTTTTTTTCCAACAATGAAAGTAAATAATGTTATATATATTTATCTCCATAAATGAAGCATAGCTATATGCTGTACAACAAATTTGTTTGTCTACATAAGGTGACCTATTGCTATCCGTTTTCGTTCGTCGTGCGTTAACATTTGAACATTTTCAGCTTCTTCTCTGAAACCGCTGAACCAATTTTAACCACTTTTGGCATGTAGCATCTATGGGTGAAGAAGAAAAATTATGAATTATGGCCCCTGCCCCCCCCCCCTGGGGGTGGGGCCAAAATCACTAAAATTAGTGCAATCTTTAAAAGTCTTCTTCTTTACTCCTGGACATCAAGCAGTCAAACTGTTGGCATAAATGTAATGAGCACTGAGTGCCTCTAACAAAATTGTGAAATTCATGGCCCCAGGTTCAGGGATAGTAGTGCTAGGGCGGGGCTATTTAGATTATATAGTGAAAATGCATTATTTCTTTGAAAATCTTCATCTCTGCCACTTGGTATTTAATAAACTAAGTATATATGATGAGCAAGAGTGCCTCTTTCAAAATTGTGAATTTTATGGCCCCAGGGTCAGGGGTTCTGGTGTGCGGCGGGGCTCTATTGATTATATAGTCAAAGTGAATTAATTCTTTGAAAGTCTTCTTCTCTGCTCCCAGATATTAAATAAACTAACTAAGTACATAGTTCTGACGGGCAAGAATGCCTCTTCCAAAATTGTGAATTTTATGGCCCAAGGGTCAGGGTTTCTAGTGTTTGGGGGGCCTCTATTGATTATATAGTGAAAATAAATTATTTTTTCTGAAAATCTTCTCTGCTCCTAGGTATCAAATTAACTAACTAATTACATAGTTATGATAAGCAAGAATGCTTCTATCAAAAGTGTGAATTTCATGGTTATGGGTTTCAGGGGTTCTGGTGGAAGGGCGGGGCTTTAGAATGATTATATAGTGAAAATACATTAAATTTTTGAAAATTGTTTTCTCTGTTCCTGGGTATTAAGCAGATGAACTACCTATGTAGTTATGATGAGCAAGGGCCCTTTCTCTAGAATTGTGAATTTCAAGGCCCCAGGGTCAGGGGTGCCATGGGGGGGGGGCTCTACTTATATACTGAAAATGAATTAATTGTTTGAAATCTGCTCCTTTATATTATTCAAACATTTTTGATAAGCAAGGGTGGCTTTTTAAAAATTGTGCAATATGTGGACCTAGGGTAAGGGGTTTATGTGTGGTAGGGACACTACTCATTATTGCTGAATATTACTGATTAGCTGAAATGCATTTTTGTTCTCCTACCCTGCCTATGGGTATTAAGTAACCAAACGAAGCAACTGCTAAGTGTATAAGTCGGGGAAATAAATGTTGAAAAAAGTGTATGCTTATGATGAGCAATGGCGCCTCTTTCAAAATTGTGAATGCCATAGCATCTGGCTTAAAATATGAACCAAATTCAATCACTGGAAAGTTGTTGCATGATCCTCAGGTGACCTATAATGCCCATGAGCCTCTTGTTCATTTTCGACTGATACACAACGAGAGAAAAGGCTTCCACCTCGCCACGCTAGCGCTTAAACTTCGCGTGATTATTTATCTTAACAAATAGTGAAAGTGGGATTTGTGTCCCCGTACGGCAACATAGCAAAGGTTAAGTTTTCTCGTATGCAAATCAAACCTGTAAGGCCTTTGCACAAGATATACAAATGTGAAATATAAATCCTCGCACCACCTGTTCAAAAGTTATGAACAAGGTTAACGTTTTCAATGGTAGGTCAAGCTCCGGGTCAATGTCAAAGAGCCAAGGTTATTGGTTTCTTAGGAAAGGACTTGACACAGAGATTACATATGGGAAGTATGAAAGCCCTAACCGTTCAAAAGTTATTGCCAAAATAAAGTTTTAAAAAGTACGTCAAAATCACAGGCCTTAAGATCGCTTAGAAAAAAAATTGAGGTGTTGAAAAAAAAAAAATAAAGGTATGGAACTCTTTTCGCCTCTTTTCATAGGGTACCAACTTTCGCCAATAAAATTCTTTTAAATCAAATGCTTTACAATTTTACTTTTTATCCATATCTATTCATATATAAACAAATTTCATTACTACCAAATTTCATTCCGTAATTCCTTATACTTCTCAAGATATTCTGAAATCAATTCCAAAATTGACCTAAATTTTTTTACTCGACATCATCGTCTCAAGCCACGATCCGGAGTCCGCATATAGCTCTCTCCTACCCGTGGCTGCTTGATCACAAAAAGTGTCGTAATCTTGAATATTTACGCCTCTCTATTGTGACGACATATTCAGTCAGTGGCAGGTTTTGTTTCCATCGCAATCGAAATCTGCGATTGGATATTGAAAGGTCGCGATAAAGTTCATCATCCGACTATGCCTTACTCGCATTGGTCAATATCTTAATGAGCTACGAAGAATTCTCTACTCGTTCAACCACGGCCAGAGGGGAGAGGAGCGTACATTTTGGCCGTAGTTTGCGACGATGACTCGACATCAGCTTGGGCCTTTGGAGGGCTACACTAATTTTTAAGCTGGAACGACGGGACAAATTTTCCCCGGAGTTTATTCTAAGCTCAATGAATATTTTCTCATTTGCATTCGAGCTTTACATGGATTTTCTCTAATTTGATCATATGATCTTACTTAGTCACAAACAACATTTTAGCGGTCTAATTGTTTTGAGAATCGAACGGTATATAATGCATTCCGGGAATAAATCGTTCGACCATAGCTTCTTTTACATTCATAATCAACATGGCGGTGTTGTTGTTGATGCAGACGTTTTCAAGTTAATTTTTCGCGAAAGGAATTAATACGGACTTAACCTTACAATCCGGAGTAAGAAATCAACTTTAAAATGTTGAAAGATCTTGCAAATACTATGCAACTCTTCGCTGCACTACTTCAAACACCGTCTGTTTACATGTGAAGGCTAGGGGCCCAAGCTAATGTCGAGTAAAAGAAAGGTCATTTTTGAGATTGATTTCAGAATATCTCGAGAAAAATACGGAATTTCGGAATGAGCTTTGGTAGGAATGAAGAATGTTTATCTATGAATACATTTAAATAGAAAGTAGAACTTTAGAGCATGTGAATAAAAAATATTTTATAAGCGCAATTTGGTACCCGGTGTAAGAGTTCATGATCAGTACCTTTATTTTTTTTTTTACACACAATTTTTTTTACAAGCGATCCAAAAGCCTGTGGTCAAAATCTATGGTAATAGTTGTTGGTATTCAATGAAAAGTCTTGTCACAAGGATTACATATGTGAAGTTTGAACGCCCAGGGGCCCATTTTACGAAAGAACCTAAGACTAAGACCATAATTCATTCTGCTTCTAATTTTCTTATTTGCATTACATTGTTGATGATTTTAAACTTTTAAAAAGAAATGTAGAAAGAAATTTCAAACTGAATAATTAATTTTGCAAACTTTTATTATCAACTCAAGTTTTTAGTCTTAGGCGTAAGTTCTTTTGTAAAACGTGCCCCTGGCCCTTACTATTTAAAAGTTATGGCCAAGGTAAAAGTTCTTTAAAAGTAGGTCAAACTCCAAGGTAAAAAGTTGTTGGTATCCAATGGAAGGTCTTGTCACAAAGAATATATATGTCAAAAATAAAAGTCGTAGAATCAACAGTTCAAAAGTTTGGAATTTTGGTGTAAAAGTGTGTCCAACTCCAAGATCAACAGGTCAAATTTGGTGGTA